CAGACGTACTGGGCAGGTATGTTTAAGTCTGCTGCAGCAGAACTCATAACCTCTTTTTCCTGGTGCTCTGTCCGGGGAAGGTGGGGCTTTATTTATAAGTTCCTGATTTGCTGCTGCCTTTTTTCAGAGATGCCCTGCCCAGCAAGCAGGTAGTCTAGTCACAGTCTGCCAGTAGAGGCATTGCTGAGCTGCCATAGTCTCTGCCCAGCTGCTGTGTAAACTTCCTTGTGGTTTTGTTTACAGAGGTATAGTTAGAACTGCCTCAGTTATGGCAGTCTGAGTCAGTAATAGTAGACTGCCTCGGTAATGGCAGACTGCCTCAGTCATGGCAAACTGCCTTAGTAATGGCAGATTGCCTGGGTAATGGCTGATTGCTTCTGTAATGGCAGACTGCCTCTGTAATGGCAGATGCCCTGCCCCTGACTGAGCGGGACCATACCAGGTCCAGCTACACTTGCTGCAAAACTCTCAGTCCAGAGTGTTTCAGACTGTTGGTCTTTTTGGGAGTGGGACTCACCGAGCCAGATCACCTGGTATCCTGTTTCAGCCCCCTATTTTTCAGTTGAATGGGTGGCTCTGTCTCCTAGGCATTCCAGGAACCAATTGAAATGTCAGCCCAGATTTGTGTGTTTTTGTGAGGAAACCTGTGGAGCTAGCTGAAACAGCTGTGCTGGAAACTCATTGCACTTTTCAGCCTGGGAATCTCCTGGTCTGTGAGCAGTAAAAACTCATTTGGAAATGCGGTGATCACTCACTCTCTGTGTTGTTCTCACTGGGAACTGCACTCCAGAACTATTCCTATTCGGTCATCTTGGATCTCCCACTTCTTCCCCCCCTTTTTTTTTTGAGACAAAGTTTCACTGTTGTTACCCAGGCTGGAATGCAATGGTGTGATCTCGACTAACTGCAACCTCCGCCTCCCAGGTTCAAGCAATTTTCTGCCTCAGCCTCCTAAGTTGCTGGAATTACAGGTGCCCTCCACCACGCCCGGCTAATTTTTTCTATTTTTAGTAGAAATGGTGTTTCGCCATGTTGGCCAGGCTGATTTTGAACTCCTAACCTCAGGTGATCCAACCCTCTTGGCCTCCCAAAGTGCTGGTATTACAGGCGTGAGCCACCGTGCCCGGCCTATATATGTATTTTTTGAGACAGGGTCTCACTTTGTCACCCAGGCTGTAGACAAATTTTCTTATTCTCACTACATTTACTCTATGATCTCTTCAAGATCTATTGTTTCTTTTTTTCTCTGATATAGGTCCTTTCAACTTTTCTTCCTAACATATTTAGCTTAGACTATCATTCATCATCTTAACAACTCTTTTTAGTACCCTCAACCTCTCTGCTTTTTTTTTTTTGCCCTGCAAATTTGTAATCCTAAATCATTGCAATTCTTTGCCTTCTGTGTTGCTGTATAGGGAGAGTTGAATGTATTAAATTACACAACTGTACAAATGATTACTCATACAAATTTATGGCACTCATTATAGCCAACTGAGTCCTCCAGATTGCTTGACTTTGTTCTCTTCCTCACCCTCTTCAGTTCTTTCTCCCATTTCCTTTAGTATCTAATCTCTGTCATTCCTTTCAAAGTATTCTGCCCTCTCATGTTCAGAAGCCCACACTGACCCCTACTTTATGGAAAACAAAACAAAAACAAACAAACAAAAATCGAATTGTGGCCTCAAATTTACTAATACAACTATTCTTACCTCCTTTACTCCTGTCTCTGATTACAATTTGGCTAGCTTCTTGTTCAAGGTGAACTTTTCTGCAGATAATCTAAATCCTATCTCTTCCTACCTCCTCTTGGATCCTGCTCTATAACAATTCTTTCTATAACAATTCTTGGATCCTGCTCTATAACAATTCTTGGATCCTGCTCTATAACAATTTTTTTGTTATTGAAAAATAGCAAATACTTGAGTATATTTATGGCTAATTTGAAGAATTAGCCATAAATATACTCAAGTATTTGCTATTTTTCAATAACAAAAATCCTTACTTACGTTTCATCAAATTAGCCATAAATATACTCAAGTATTTACTATTTTTCAATAACAAAAATCCTTACCTACGTTTCATCTCTTCTCAATTATCATTACCACTTTTCTTACTCAAGTTTCTTCAAGGATTACTGTATTGTCCAAATTGCTATGCTTCTTTACTTCCTAATTACTCTTTAATTCACAGAAAACTGACGTCTACATCTAATACTTCATTGAATAAACTCCTCTTGTGGAACTAATCGTCACTGAATTTCTAATGTAAGGATACCTTTGGTCCTTATCATAGTTAACCACTTAGTAACATTTGACTTTTTTTTCCTTTGGGAAATCTTTGATTTCAGTGATATATTTTTTGGTTCTACTCCTACACCTCACTAGCCTTTTATTTTAAAAAGAAATATGTCTAACATTGGCTGATCAATAACAATAAACCAAATACTTTGCTAAGAGCTGAACATACTTAAAACAACCCTATAAATAAGTACTATAAGGAAAGGGGCTTGGTGAGGTTCATTTATACACAGCCACACACGGCATGGTTAACTGCAAATTCCAGTAGCTTTATTACATCATCAGAATTTTTTTTTTTTAAGTAGCAGTGAGAAGAGTAGTTGTGAAGCATATCTTTGAACCAATAATTACTAATCTCTATTTAGAAGAGTTCATATAATCCTCTTAGACTTGCATAGATTTTAAAGAGTATTTGAAAGACAAGAATTTTATCTTTATAATTTCCCCAAATTACAAAGTTAAAATTAACTTCATCAACAGAGCACCTACTGTCCTGTCCCATAAATGTTACAGGAGATGTTTCATAAAAACCCTCCCATCAATAGAGTGAATCTATTACTTATCACATTGCAACATCCATGATCAGGACACAAATTACATGGTAGTCATGTCTTAATAATGGGTTTAATATATGCTTCTTTATTACTTTACCAAGAAGAGACCCTAATTTAATGCAGCTAACTGAAAGGTGCATGTAGAACATCAGCTCTCAAACTTGGCTGCACACGGGAATTTCTAGAGCTTTAAAAACACACTGATATCTGAGCCCTACCTCTTGAGATTCTGATGTAATCAGCATAGGGTGGGCTGGGCATCAGAATTTTTAGAGGCTATCAGGTTATTCTAATGGCAGCTACAGTTGAGAATCATTGGTGTAAAAGACAGAGGAAAGACTGTAATATTCATTTTGTAGTCCAAAGTAAAGTAGGTTGGTAGCATGTATTCATTCAGCATCAGGGTTTTGCTTACCTGTATGCCCACTTATAGGCACTAATTCTAATTGCAAAAGCAAATGATTCCCAACAGTCAGTGACCAACCAAACATACTTGATGTTTGCTAACTGCATTAGTTTCCAAGGGCTGCCCGTAACAAAGTACCACAAACTGGGTGGCTCCCAACAGCAAGTATTAAATGTCACACAGTTCTGGAAACTATAGAAGTCTGGAATCAGGTGTCAGCTGGGCTATGTTCTTTCTGACAACTGCAAAGGAGAGTCTTTCCTTGCCTCTTATAGTGTTTGTTGTTTGCCAGTAATTGTTGGCATTCTTGGCTTGTAGATACATGGCAATCTTCTCCCTGTGTGTCTTCAGATTGCATTCCCTCTGGGCATGTCTGTTTCTGTATCCAAAATTTGCCCCTTTTTATGGGGACACCAATAGTAGATTAGAGTCCACCCTAGTGACTTTATTTAAACGTGATTACCTCTGTACAAACCCTATTTCAAAATAAAATCACATTCTGAAATAGCAAGGATTAGGACATTAGTATAGTCACTTTTAGGGGGCAGAATTAACCTATAAGAATAGTCAACTCCTGCAGATGTTAGTAACATTGCTTTAAAGCAGAAGTGCTTAACTTGGGGATTAGAAAGAATTACATCTTTATTTTCACCAACTCTCATACTGTTTCACCAACTACAGCATTTCCTACAATTATAAACATGAGCAACAAATCACAGTAGTAGTATCACTGGTTCTTGAGAGTTTGCACCCACAGAAATCACTGGTATTTTCATGTCACATTTCAGCATTTCAGATATCCGAAAATACCACTTACAATCATCACTGGCTTGAGATTAAAGTTGTTAATGGACTTGCTGCTAGATCTAGTTATTTTATGCATTAATAATGATGCAGGCATATCATGATATATCGTGACATAATATTTTCATAGTTGTATTTCAGTAAAACTTATTTGATTTAATTACATTTTATGCATTTTAACATTATTCTGAGGAATGGTCCAAATTAAAACAAAAATTACCCAAATTAAAACAAAAATCTTTATAAACCTTAACAGGACCCTTAGTGAATTCCTATATTTCAGACTAAAGGATTTTTTGAAATTTAGTAATCAAAGAATATACATGGCATTGTGCATCAGTGAGCTTTTTCAATGTTTTTTTACCATGATCCACTGTAAGAATTTATGTTTTACACATAACCCAATACACAATATTTTCTCTTTCCCACACACAAACCTGAAACAAAAGTTTACACTTACTATATATAAGAGATGCATTCTGACATTTCTGTTCTATTGATTTTCATTAAAAAATACCTACCTTATTAATTTATATTAAAAATACCTACCTTATTAATTATAATTTATATTAATTATATATATTATATTTTATATTTATATTTATAAATATAAACATTTCTATTTATAATTGTTTTAGAGGTGGTATTTAGATGGGCAAACAGCTCAACAGCTAACCAGGCTTCATTTAGGTAACAGGTAATGGATTATATAAATTTCATAATTATGATGAGTGTAAATTTAAACTTTACCAAATATAGGAAGAAAAGAGGTAGAACAATAAATATTATAAGCCTGAATCATTTTTTATTATAAAAATGCTTTAAGTGTGTAATATTTAATTTCATTGAGGTATTTCCTCATTCACTATTGTAAAATCAGGTAGAAACATTTCCCAAAGTAACAATATTTACTTAACCCCAGGCTAAAAAGAATTTTACCTGTAGTAAACTCGAAGGGTCTGGATTTCCTCTTCCAGTTTTTTGTACTGTTGAACTGCAGTTTCTCTGGCTTGTTGCATAGATAACAACTTTGCCTGCAAGTAATTAATATTTTAAGAAATTCAGTATTCATTTTGGTATGATAAAATACAATATCACAGTAAGAACAGTAGTCTTAAATTACTGACAGTTAAAAAAACAACTTATGAATGTTTTTAGTAGTGTCTCATAAGTTACCATAAAATAGTCTAAATGCATTAATAATACAAACACTAAAAACATGAACATACTAAATTTGGCAACTTTGCCCATTATTAACCTTCAACCTTATTTATCTGTATCATCAGATATATGCCCTTCTGCAATGTTTAACTTTATACACAGAATTCAGAATGTGGAACATGGGTTTCAGAGCAATATCTACAGCAGAGATAAGTACAATGGGTGTTTCACATACAAATTTAATGTGGCTCCACTGCCTGATCATACTAGATTTTCTTTTAACTTTATTAATAGTAAAACTCAGAAAATTCTAAATATGTTGTCAAGCTATCTTTGATATTTAATGTAAAAAAATACACCAGGCTACAAACTGATTCTTACAGATATGATTTAACCTTTTCAATTCCTTTTCTGTGGGGGAAAAACAAATTCCCAAAGGGGAGAATGGCAGCAACCCTGAATGCTAGCAATGTTTTATTAGAGGGGTGTAACTGTTCCTTCCTGCTATAATTTTTGAGTTTTAAAGAATGGATAATCAGTTTTTTCAATGAGGTAGTAATTTAAAAAGAATCTGCCACCCTCCCACCATCATTCCCATTGGATTTTAAACAACACCAAAAACAGTTTTCAATATAACTTTGAAAATATGGCACTGGTAAGTCAGGTTTTAGTATTGCTTATTCAAAGTTAAATTTGCATAAAATGGTTATCTTTCACTTTGCTTTAAATTGTATTTGAAAGGTAATACAAACTGTTGTCACAAACCTCACAAACTAGGACACCACTACCCATTAAAAAGTAATAGAAAGTTTGAAGTCACAGGTTCAGAATTTTGCTGAATTCATATTATTTCACTGGAATTATTTTTTTGTTTAAGAATGAAGTCATAAGAAAGCTTGTGAAATCCTGTATAGGAAAATTAATCAATGAAATAAAAGTGACCATTACGCAATGCCACTTTTCTATTCTAATAATAGAGAATTTTAAAAACATGTAGCAATTTGGACCTTTGCATATAAGTTTTAGCATTAAGATTAATTTGTTCTCTGAATTGGTAAATTCTACCAAATTTTAATTTTATAGTTAAATTTAAGATGTTTGAATGCATAACATGCCATATTCCACAATTATAGATAAAACATTCTAAAAAAAAGGGAAAAGCATATAAAGTAAAAATAGATAGCTGGTTCTTAATGTCAAAGAATGAAAGCTTTTCCAATTTTCAGTATACCATAAAATGTGATTAAAATGGTAACTTGGAAGACAAAGATACCCACTGTGACTAATGGCAGGTCGAAAAGAATCACACACATCATATTCAACTCAGAAAACTTCAAACTTCAAACATGCAGTTACGGAATATCAAATATTGAACAGGTAATAGAGATTTTACTAAATAAATATGTGCCAATGCTACATATGTACAAATGCTGAAATAAGATGATTGTTTTGAAGTCTTTTACTTGGTGCCTGTGCACAGAAACCAAAACCAAAACCAACCAACAAAACACGAATTCTTGTAAAAAAACACTGCAATGTAGTTTTTGCTTAGACACTTTCATAATGAAAATGCGATTGTGATAACTTTAAATTCCCATGCTTAAGGTGTTATTGAACATTTCACATTCTCCTCCCACATTTAGTTGACTATGAAAACTTGGTGTTGCTTTATGATAATTCAATTTCTTAACTCCGAGTATCTAATTTTCTTTCTAGACCCTAGTGACTATGTTTAAAGCTATTACAAACTTTCTGGCTTCGCGATATCCTTACTTTATCAGACATATGCTTACCTAGCAGCATTTCTTTTTTGGAAAATACCCCTAACCTATACTACAGTGATCTTGTTCAGTCTTTGTGACTAGAATGAACTTCATCCCCCATCACCTCAAGTATACAATCCAGGTTATCTAATTAAAGTATTGCATCCCACTAGCCCCAGAAGAAAACAGAGTCCTGACGATATCACTTCTACTCTTGGATCCACATATGTCTGAAAACAGATCCAGATCTGCTTCCTGGACTTCCAGGGTAGATAAATCATTCATTGGGAGGTAAGTTGGAGGGTGACTTAGGCTAGTTTGAGTTGGGTATCTGCTGCATGCATTGTTGAAACATTTAACCAATTTAAATGTGCTATTTACTTCTATAGTATTTCCTTGATTGATATTAATACCATATAATTCTATCATACTATAGGTCAGAAAGAAATTTCGTATAGAAAATATCAAGGAAATTAGCAAACAAGATATATTCCTATTTTTCTTTCTGGCATCCTATTCCCATATTTCTGGAAATTATTTTTATATTTCATTTATGTGTATACTTGCAAAAATAAACGCATGCATCAAACAAAAACTAACAAAGCTCAGTGTAAGAGAATATACAACGTAAAGTAAATCTCCCACCTCCTATCTTTAGTACTACAAATCCCTTCTCCTGAGATTACTAGTTACCTGTCTAGTTATTGTACATCCTTCCAGAGATTGTTCTATACATATATAAGCATATATGGATACTTGTAAATAAATTATCCCTATTTACAAAATTGATAGCACTTTATACATACTGTTATAAACCCTGCTTTAATTTTTTTTCAAAAATTGCTATTTTGTTTCACATTAAAAAAAAAATTCAGCTGGTTACCGTGGCTCATGCCTATATGGTAGCTCATGTTTCATTTCCCAGTGCTTTGGGAACCTAAGATGGGAGAATACTTGAGCCCAGGAGGTTGAGATCAGCCTAGGAAACATAGCAAAGTCTCATCTCTACAAAAAAATTTAAAAATTAGCCAGGTGTGGTGGTGCGCACCTGCAGTCCCAGCTACTCAGAAGGATGAGGCAGGAGGATTGCTTGAGCCCAGAAATTCAAGGCTGCAGTGAGCTATGATCACATCACTGCACTCCAGCCTGGTTGACAAAGTGAAACCCTGTCTCTAAAAAAAAAAAAAAAAAAATCCCCTATCTCATTCCACGTATCATACTCATCAGTTACATTCCCTTTCTTCCTTCCAAGCACCAAAGAAAAACACATTTGGGTTCATCATTTTTAAGAATATTTTATACTTTTACTATAGTATAAACCTTTTACACAAGTATAACACTTTTTATTTTTATAGTCATATTTTAGGTAAAATTTTATCAAAGTAAAACATACATGCAACATAAGTACATACATGGATTTTTCAATGTCAGATGTATTGAGTCGTAATTTATACAAGGTAAACATTTACCCATTTTCAGTATATAGTTCTGTAAATTTTGACAAAGTTATCCAGTCTTGACATACAATATTCCTGTTACTCCAAAATGGTCCTTGTGCAACATTGGAGTCAATACCCTCTTTTTACACACAGCCTTTGGCAATCAGTGATGTGATTTTTGTCCCTATAGTTTTGCTTTTTAAGAATGTCATATAAATGGAATCATACAGTATTCAGTCTTTTGAGTCTATTTTCTTTCACTTAAATATAATTCTTTTGAGATTCATCCATATTATTTTATGTATCGGTTGTTTATTCCTTCATATCACTGAGTAGTATTCAATTCCATGAATGTATCACAATCTGTATATCCACTTACCAGTTAGACATTTGGCTGATTTCTAGTTCTTTGACAATTACTAATAAAGCGGCTACAAAAATTTACATATAGGTCATTTTTCTAGAAATATAACTTTGTTTCTTCTGAGTAAATACCTAAGAGTGAAATTGCTGAGTCCTGTGGTGTGTGTTTACATTTTGTATATGCATATAAAGTTATATACTTTATTTAAAAACTGCCAAACTTTCTGCCTAAAATGATATCACTTTAAAGTATCCATGCTTAACTATAATCAATGCCACTTGTTGACTTCCTACTCTGAGTTAGGCATTCTTTAAGTGCTTAAAATATATTACTATATTCTCATAACCAACCTATAAGGTAGTTGCTATTATCCCTATTTTACAAGATATAAAACATAGGTTCGTGGAGCTTAAGTGATTTCTAATTATAACAGAGCAAGTAACTGGTAGAAATCAAATAGAAATTCATACCCCTTTGTTCCAAAATACATATTTTCTTTTTATATCACTGTATACATTATATATAAATTATATAATTAGAGATGACACAATAGAATCAAATCATCATGTGATAACAGAGTTAATGACAATAATGAAAGTTCACAGAATAATCAGAGTGTATTTTACTATACCTTACATGATTGAAAAATGGGTTCGGTAACTGATGTTAGGTTAGTCTTATAGTTAACCTATCTTGTTATCAGTCTTAGTTAACCTATCTTGTTATCAGTCTTGACCAATGCCATCTAAATAGGACAGCCATTAGTACTGGGACTGTATCAGAAATGAACTACATTGTTTCCTTAGTGTTTAATCTAGTAACTCAGAATGACAAAGAAAAGACTACATTGTTCACATCACTAAGCACTATTCTTAATCAGTATTGTGGAGAAATCACTTTTATCTCTTTGAGATCTCCTTATGTTTGGCTTAAATGTGTTTTTAATAGTTATAGTCTGATACAGTTACACCTTCTTTTGGTAACTCCAAGACCATGAATGGAAATTGGTTTTTATCTTAGAACACAGACATTTGATGTTATGTGTGATATCTGGTAAATAAAGAAGCGTACAGTACAAATTAAAGCATAGAAGAAAATAATTTTAGACTTGGAAAGGATCTCAGAGGTAATACGGAACCTTACTTTTATAGAAGAGGAAATTGTTTTTAATACAACGTGTTCAGGGAAATGTTTGGAAATTGTCCAAGGTTTCATACAGGTTAGAAAGAACATTGGAACTAACAAGTATCTAGAAAACATTGCTTATTTTACCAAAGAAGACCACATTTCAGTATCGTATAATTTAA